TCTCTACGATTCTAATCGAAAATTTCTTATTTGGGCAATCGAGCGAGCCGTCACGCAACATAGCTTGTATTTGAGAAGCTGGCCTTGGGGACGAGGCCGTAACACTTCCGATCACGCAATAAGTCCCAACGTACTCTCAAAATGCGTTCTGAATTGTCTGTAGATTGATATTTCTTTCTGTGATGTGCCGCATGCGAAGACTAAAATTACTGCTTTCTTGGGCCATTCTTTTTTTCGTTGTTTTATTCCTTATCAAAAACAGAAAACGCCGAGGCGAGAGAATCGCCGATGGAGAGGACGTCCTTTCGTTCCGGAAAAGCTCCAAACTTCTCACAGTAGACGGTAATGTTGATAAAAATTCTTTCAGCCTCGTCACTGGGGAAGGACGCTTAAATGTCTCGGTTTGGGAAGAAATCTGTGGGAATGAACTTATATCACTGAAAGAGTTCCCGCTTTTCCCTCACGCGCCGACATCACGCCGAAGCACATCGACCTTGCGAATACGCTTGAAACAAAACTTAGAAAATTTTGGATTACGAATCTTCGGATTTCTTTCGCCATTAGAATCTGGGAATTACAACTTTCATTTATCTTCGAGTGGATCGACGGAACTATGGATTAGTTCGAATACAGACCCCGAAAAATGCAAGCTTATGGGAAATGTGACATCGAGGGCAACTTGGATAAATGATGGAAATACCATTTCTTTATCAGCGGGAAAGCGTTACTACATAGAAATTTTACATAAACATGGCCTTCAAGACGAAGAGAATCTCAATTTCATGCACATTAAATGGCGATCTTCGGCATGGAAAGTACAAGTTTTTAGAGATATTCCTTCAGATGTACTTATACCATCCGAGGACGATCAACATTCGAATGTATTTGGTAAAATCAAACTACAATCGTTATTAAATCAGCGAGTTGTTCATCGGGATACTATCCTTCCAATGCACGTTCAACAAAGTGAACCTTCATTTGTAACTGAAGAAGAAAAGCGTCGTTCAGAAATGTATTTTCTTCCCTTCATCAGAGAAGAAGACACTAAAGATCTATTCCCTCCTTGTCAGTATAATCCATCTTACATAGTTAAAAATCCTTTAGGTAGATACCAGTCTATGTGGGAGACCCATTATACCTCAATTTATCCTCACGACCATGCAGATATTATGAGAAAAAGTTGGGAGTCGGACGATTTTGTGACTTTTGGTAACGATCAGATGGACGAAAATGCCGCAAGGAAGATTGTTGTACGTGTCTGGACGCAATTACAAGTCAAGTCCCCAAGGTAAATTATTTCAATATTTTGTGTTTTGTTTTGCCTTCACCTTTCTTCTAGGATAGTCAAACTCAAAACATAAATGTTATCATGGGTTTCATCGTGGTTGGTGAATTGAAAAGATTTCCGCTTTTTGCCGATGTTATTCACGTGGAAAGAACAGAAACTGCTATTGCTTGATATTGACCTGATTATTTCTTTTCAGTATCATTCGAAACGAACGAGCGAAGGATTGATCGACTCGCTTCAACAACTAACGTGACAGCGTATTAAATTCGTCTCGGTTCAGTCGTTTGTGCTAAGACGATGTAGCCTTGTAAACGAAAGGCTATCGCCAATGAATTTTCGCAAATGACTCTTTGAATTCCTCAATCACCTCGTCTATTTATTTTCCTTGCGACCTACACGCGAACACGTTTTAGAATTATAGAATTTTCCTATCCGTTTGCACGGGTACTTAAAAAAATATATATAGAAGCGGCACCTAGTTTTGCTTTAGTTTGGGGAAAATGCAGGCACCTTCAGACACCTTCGTGTTTAGAAAGTAGAAAACGGCAACTCGTTCAAGTGGAACCGTGGTGATTATAGGGATCGGAAAACTACGATATGTAGTCAATGAAATTGTGAAACAGATGAGCACGTGGCTAAAATATATTTGATTAGAGACCTGTTCGGCTGTCTTATCAGCAAATGATGTTCACTTGAAAATTTTGATTACTTAAACTTTTTGAAGCTGGTTCACTAATTCGCTTGCAATCAGCTCTTAATGTGTGAGGCTTGTTTGCCGAGTAATTATGACAGACACTTTGATTAGACTCCAATACCTTGAGCAATAAGACAGTAAAAAAAACAAAAACAATCAGTCTTGTGTCTTTGACTGGATATATTTCCTCATGAACCCATATTATTCTAAAATAAAGCCTAGGCCCAAAGTCAATCTATTTTTTCGTCATTGTCTTCTTTGGTAGATCGAATCTTTGGGGTCAATCTGCGGATTTTTCCCCTTTATTTTTCGAACGAATTTAAAGCATAGACAAAATACAATTTAATGAGGTATTCAAGCAACCGCAAACTGCTTACAAAACAAAAGGTTTTTGTGCAATTCTGACAAGGTGTAGCAGTTGCCTTAAAAAGTAGGCATATATTAGAAGTTAACTTTTTGGGCGTTAGAATTTAATCGAAAATCTGTCTGAAAGCCCAAACCGAAGCTTGGCATACAGGTGTCCTACTGGTATACCAGTTGCATTTAAACATGTTTTATTTTGCCCTCACTTGGCTTTTTGCATATTATTAGGACAATTGCCGTTTCAGTATTGAGAAAACTTAACAGATGACGGAAAATATTGTACAAAAGAAATCAAGCAAAACGAAAGGCCTTTGTTTTACATTTTGCACTTTCGTTCATTTAAGCAAAAACCTAAAAAATTGAAACGAAACCTTGAGGCCTTAAAACAATATTTCCCAACAGCTGTTTCGATAAAAAATTAATTCTCATTAGTATTGTTAATAAACCAAATCTCACCAGGCGAAAGAAGTCTCATATTGCTGCAGTCTCAACTCGATAGATAGTTTTGTAAAAAATTAACTTCATTTATTCAATTCGGCGAAACTTCAGAATACCCGGCCACTCGTTTACATGTCATTGAATAAGAATAGCATCTACTCTGTTATGCCTCATTCTTCAAAGCCTCCCGACACATGTAAATGATGTGGACGGGTATTCTTCAATTCTAGCTAGAAGAGGTGGAAACAAATTTTTGCTCAAATCGGAAGCGCATCCATTTTGCTTCGTGGTGTCATGAGTGGAAATCGGAAGTAAAAATTGTGACCTTAATGGTTACAGCAACTTCCGTTCGCAAAACAGGCGGGACTGTCAAGACTTCCGTTTAGGCGATTTAAGCAACAATGAATACACTCGAAGAGCCAAACGTTTCCCTTTTGGCATCATGGGTATGGAATGTAGGAGTGACGGGTTACTTTCCTTTGTGTAGCATTTTAGAATCTGGCCTGTCACATCGTTGGGGATGATTGCGCAACATACGAAAGGATTGTCCGAATGAGTCACGTATTAGCAGAAAGTCCATCATGGCAGACATTGAAAGTAAAAACGAAAACTATGACTGTAACGGGAGTGATAATGATAAACAATTTCAACAGTTTGATCGTTGACCCCTGTGTAGCTAGAAAAAAATATAGATTAGTTGCCCGATTCGGTGAAGATGTTGCGCTGGGTACTCTGCATTAAGTAGTTCGGCTTTGGGTGGCAGTTCACCGTGAACTAAAACTGATTGGGATGTTACTGTAGTTGTAGACCAACATTAGGAAGTGTTCCATCTACCCTTTTGTTTAGCCACCTTGAATTTCCGCACCCAATCAAAAGTATTTGAAAAATTTCCAAACATGTATGCTTGTGTCATCCACTGAACAACGTCATCTTTCACTTGTTTTCCTTTTTCCTCTTCTTATTATAGGAAGTATACCCTTAAACACATCTTGAATGTGGAAGAAAATCATGATCCTGAAAAAGGAGACAGATATTTGGTAGAACTGGAACTGATAGAAATTTTAAGCAGGAGACATTTGAGGTTCTCTGAGTATGTGTACCGGCCTAAGGAATCAGATACTTTGTGCAGCCCAGTGGCCGTGGCATGGAACAAGAGTGCTGTTGTCAACATCCTTCTCGCCACTGGGAATAATCAGGGGCGTTGGACTCTCCATTTTCTTGATCACATGTCAAGAATACATAATAAGACCAAGGATTTTAATTTTAACGTAATTATCGTTGAATTCGACGGCATCTATGTTGACTTAAAGGAAGCTCTGAAGAAGAGTGGAATCCCACATTATCGGCATATTAGACTTCGAGAAAGATTTCAAAAGGCCAGGGGGCTACAGTTGGCTGCCAATATGGTTACAAATCCGAACTCAATAGTGTTTGTTATGGATCTTCATTTGGATATTCCCTATCATTTTCTAGATGACGTCAGAAAGGTTAGTGAGTATATCGTACGCATCGCTTTTACTAGTTTTCATATCTTGTCCATCAGACAAGTAAAACAACCCTTGGAGTGAGTATGGATAATTGTAGAATTAGAAACCTGCTGAGTAGAATATTATGGTGTTTATTGAGCAGATCGCAGGACGTCACTAAATGTTACTTATAGCTCAACTATGAAAAATCTCGTCATTGGTTGGTAATCAGATACATGGGTTTTTTTTTTTTGTTCTGATACCTTAACCCGGTCCCTGTGGCCCTGAAGGGTGACCTGCCTCCAATTTCTTCACAGAGTATCGCCAACGGTCAAACATAAAGCTCATGAGTTTAAAAGAAATGAGCGGCAAGTAAAGAAGCCTTTGATTGCCGGTTGAACAAATTTTTCTTGTCAGGACTCTAGGAAATTTGTAGAGAACAGTATGGAGAAAATACATGCTGATGTTGATTTAAAACGGTTAGGCAAGGGAGCGAGGAACGCAAGAGCGTATATTTTCTCATTTCCCCTCCTCCAGCATCTATGCTCTTACGCTCGTGGCTCTTACCTGGCTTACCCATTGAATGTGGATCTAGGGCAAAAGAGAGGGGTCTGTGAACAAGTTATTTCCTTTGTTGCCAGATTGTTACATGAATTGCTGCGCCCGTATAAGAAAGGCTTTCCACATGTTCCGTTTTCAGTAGATCTGAATTTGGAACGGTTAAATTTTCTCGTTAGCGTATTAGCAGACAGAAGATTCGAAGTTCTAATCTGTATTTTTAAAAACATGTTTTTGGTGTTTTTCTGCAGCACTGTGTTCAAGGCAAGATCGCTTACAGTCCTTTACTCACTCGACTATCTTGTGGGGCGACGGCACGGCATCCCAGAGGCTACTGGGAAGACTTCGGTTACGGTTTGATGGGCATGTACAAAAGTGACTGGAACAGAATTGGAGGCATGAATGTGAAAGAGTTCAAGAACAAATGGGGTGGAGAAGATTGGGAGATCTGCGATCGTATTTTGATGACTGGTATGGAAATAGAGAGACTAAAGATGGTTCATTTGTTCCACTATTACCACACCAGAAAAGGCATGTGGTCTGATGTTAGGAATGACACAGATGTTTCTGAGTACGCTGCCCTATCCTGACATAATAAATGAGTGTGGTTTTTATCCGGAATGCAAACATATATGCTTGGGACTATCAAAGTGACGATAAGATTTTCGTATATTTTAGCTTAAGAATAAGATTATTTTCTCATTAATAATTGGCGGAAGGCAAGAATTCATCGACTTTTATTGAGTTTATATGTATGCGTCGTGAAAAGGAAATAATAAGAAGTATACAATCTATGAATTTATGGAACAAATTATCCTCGATTTAAAAAAACCAATAGTCGTATATATACATATATATATATTTTTTTTTTTTTCCAATATATGAAACAAATATCGAGTTTGATACTTTCAAATTGCTTGTTATCTTGTGATTGGACAGCCCCACTGGATATCCACGTGACATCGAACGGCCGATAACCAATCGGAATCGAGAATTTTGTTACAGATACCAATAGTTCGAAATCCTTGAGGGGGTTGCGCCAAATATAAAGATAACAAGCTTTTACTTTATCTACCTTATTTAAATTTTGATGATCATGTATAGTTAAAAATACTACAGAAAAGAAAATATGTATTCATTTTTCTCTTTTTTTTTTAACCTGCACTTCGTTTTTTCGTTACTTCAATTGTGTTTTCTTCAGTTGATGAGAACTTTAAAAGAACCATTTTTTTTTTTACACACTATAGTTTTAAGGGGTGTCACATTGTTGTAAGCCTGGGAGTGACCAGCATCTGATTTCTCCAAACAATAACACTGCTGAATCATTCATTAAGATCATGAGAATAAAGGAAATGATCGACGAAGTAAGAAGTTTTGATTGTTATACAGATTCTCCTTGTCAGCGATAAAGGAAATGTATAGAGAAGAGTTTGGAGAATGTAGATACTGATGTAAGGATGCATGGGGTTGAAGGGAAAAAAACTGAAAGAGCAGAAAGCTAGCAAAAGCTTTTAGCAAGAAAAGTTTTGAGAAGGTGTAAATAAGTCAGCAGTTTTTCGAAATTAGCTTAGAACAAATACGCTGGGAAATTTTACACATGACGTAAGCTGTAACTGTGAGCAAAACCATAACACGGTGGAGAAAAAACAGCGATGAAAAGTGACCCAAGTAGAAGCCCTTACTGGCTCTCCTCGAGGACATCATAGAATGTTCGACTGCCTTGTCTCCGTCTTTCGCGCTTCTGTCTTCGGCGTGAAATTAAGAATTCTTGCGTTTCGCGATAAAAATGACAAACTTCAGGCCCCGTCCCCCTTTCCCCTCGCCGTAGCACCTTACCATTGAGCCAACTACTTTTACAAAGGGTCGAAACGCACCAAGTTAGGGAGAATTGTTTGTGAAGTCCGGTCGCCTCTGGCTGAACCTTTGGTAAGACACAGAATTGGTCCGTGAGCACTGAGTCACTTTGCCTATTTCAAGTATCCACCCAATATTACGCCTGCTTCGGGAAATTTTGCCTCCATCCTTGTAAGGTAACCAGTTAAAAAGTCAGCGGTAATCTGTCTTTCGCTGGTGATGATAAGTAGTATCAATAGCAATGCTGCGTGGAAGGCGACTGGGCGTAGTCTCGTGGTCTCAGTTCTCAGTATTTATGGGCCTTACCGATCGCGTGTTCATAATACCAGAAGACAGTTAGCCCAAAGCTCGATCCCTGGGATATTAGAGGATCAGGTTCCTACCTAGACCGCCACGGTCGCACTCAAATAAATTCAATTCTTACCCATTCCTTTTTCGTATACCAGCCACGTAAGCTGTCAAATAATATACATGACGGACGCTCTAATATACATACAACACGGTGTTACATGTGAAATTCGTCTTCACGCACAATATTGAAATCACTGTTACGGAGAGTCACACTTGAACTTCTCCATCCCAGTCAAGTCTCCGAGCCATGACTAAAGTTTTCAAATTACATCGGATTTCTAGTCATCAAAGAATGTATGAATTTCGACCATCGTAGGTGCCTGGCCAAGAACATAAGAGAAATCTGAGGGCGGAAAAATGTGGGGTTTTCTGGCCCTAACAATAGATCTTTGATGGTTGGCTTGTTGGATTTAAAGGACATTACCATGGATTTTCACTTGTCCCGGACAGTGAATAGGAACTAAATTGAGATGTAGCGCGAGTGTGAATCCTATAATGCAAACACTTTCAATTTAGAATTCAGGCTCCAAGACAATATAATTTCTTAGAAAATATTTCTTTAATCTTGATATGGTTTTCCATGCTTGTTTTCCTCGGTATCTGAAGAGAACATTTGAGTGGAAGGTTGCCGGCAGGTCTTTCGCCAACAGGTCTGTTTATCAAGGTCTGAGGCGAGTGCGCAAACGTTGCCGTGAGTGAGTTCGCCAGGGGGCCAGTTCCCCAGCGTCTTAGGCCATAGAAGTACGGTTTTGATGCCGATAATAACTTTTAGGCTTTCGTTGTCGAAGACGGAATTAATTATCGAGGATTGGAAAGACATCCTAGTAAACCCCGATATCTGTCGGTGGGGCGGGGCGGGGCCGGGAACACCCCGTATGCAAAGCTGTGTTCAATTTATTATATACAGGACTTCTGGTTAGAAGAAGCCAGAGTTGGTGATGTGGTGACGCTGTAAACTAGATCAAATGTAAACAAATCTTATTAGACGTTTTGTTGTGTAGTATCGCTGAGTATTCTTACGAGTAGTGCCGTATTTTGACGAGCCCATAGGGCGAGTCAAAATACAAACAACGAGTAAAAATACTAAGCGATGCTACAGAACAAAACGTCTAATAAGAGATTTATTATCCAACACGGGAAATTGTTATTTCAGTGTAGGCGAATTTCGCGGATATATTTGGAGTAGAAATATCGCGTGATATTTGTACTCGTTTAGCGCGTTATTTGTGCCCTTCGAAACACAGTTGGATAATAAGAGTTGCTACTGTCTGTCTGAAGTATTGCATCTGGGGAACAAGCCAGAACACTTCTTAAAATTATGAATAGTAAGAGAGTGGATTGTTTGGTTTCGCCGGATTGAGACCTACACTGCTACATTGTCTAAATCAACTTAGGTTTCTATTATCAAAATAAAGTAGATGCTACAGTTAACGCGCCGATCAATCGAGCCTCAACACCCCCCCCCCCCAACCCTCCGCAACACACGGGCATTTTGTCGTCATATGCATTTGAACAGCTCAGAAGTTAATATGCCCGAGGGTTGCCCCTGGGAAGGGAGAGGGAAATGTTTAAGCATCGACGCTGAGGCGTGACTGAGCAGATAATCTCAACTGTTGATGACGACATCATACCTCGTCTTACACAACGAAGTACTTGATAATTCTTACCTGTCGATGTTGCAGTTTCGACTAAACGTCTGCTGTTGTTGCACACCTGTATTAACCAAGGTCAGACCTTCAAAGGCTTTATTTTGAGATTTTGAAACTTCAAGTCGACATTTTGACGAAGATGTTGAGAAGAGAAAGAAAGAAGGTCCTTGTGATGCTCCTTGTAAGTGCCGCTACAGTCATCATGTTGGTAAAGTTTCTTAAAAAGGGAAGAAATAGAAATGTATATCAAGTGGCTGCTAATGATAAAGGTTTGAACGTCGCAGTTTGGAAAGAAATCTGTGGCTCGGATATGCGATCGCTGAAAGAATTCCCTTTGTTTCCCCACGCTCCGGCAGTGCGTTTAAAAGCGGAGAGATTGCAGATGCATTTCACAAGAGAGTTCGAGAATTTTGGATTACGATTGTATGGATTTCTTTCTCCTGATGAATCCGGGAGCTACATTTTTCAATTAGCGTCAAGCGGATCGTCAGAACTATGGTTGAGTCGGGATTCAAATCCCGAAAACAGCAAGTTAATTGCAAATGTAACATCATGGACAACTTTTAACCGTGCACGCGAGCAAGATTCGATTCCATTATTAGCTGGAAAGCGCTACTATATGGAAATTTTACTTAAACATGGCCACCATTATTGGTGGAATGATAATTTTCTTCAACTTAAATGGCGATCGTCTAAATGGGAAGACGAACCAAGAGATATACCATCAAATGCTCTCTTTGCATTTGAACATGATCAGACTTCGACCTTGCTTAGTGGCATCAAGTCATACTCCACGATAAATTATCCGATGGCTTCTGAGATTAACGTCCTCCCAATGCACATTGGACATCGGGATCCATCATCCATGAATAAAATGAGACATCGTACAGAAATCTATCATCTTCCCTTCATGAAAGAAGAAGACAGTAAACATTTATTTCCTCCTTGTCAGTATAATCCATCCTATATCGTGAAAGAACCTTTAAACAGATATCAGGCAATGTGGGAGACTCATTACACCTCAGTTTACCCTAGCGACTTTTCAGATATTACAGCAGGGATGATGGATAAAAAGAAAGGTTTTATAAGCTTTGGAAATGACATGATGAATGAAGAGGCAGCAAAGAGTGTAGTGTCTCAAGTTTGGAAGCAGATAGAGAGCAAGCATCCTGGGTAATTGTCTAGAGTTTTTGTTTTTTTTTTTCCTGAGTATTCTTCATACAAAAATCCTGAAGGAGAGGTATAAAAATACTTGTTGTAGTTGTAATTCCTTCAACCCCTTAACTCCCATAAATGGCAAATACAGAATTTCTCCTTACAATATCAATGCAAAATTAAGTAAACAAGTGAAGAGAATAAAGAATTTGTGAATATCTTTGGAAAATTGCATGAATTTGCCCCCTTGCAAGTTGCCCCAAATCACTTTTGCAAGTTTGTCCCTCAGTGTAAAACAAGTTCACCCCCACCTTTATGGTGTTCACAAGAAAGTGTCAGTTGTAGTTTCTATTTAAACAATAGAGTGTTTCTGTCGAAGAACTATCTGCTGATAGTTGCCCCGCGGAAATTTTATGTTCTTAAAACAAATATGCTAGTTTTAAGAACATCAAATTTCCAAGGGGCAACTATCAGACCAATAGTTCCGAGACATAAACATTCTATTGTTTTTATTGTTCACCACTAAATTTTCTTCCGCGCCTACAGCTTGTCACAAATGTCAATAATTTGCAACCGTACACAGGCTAAATAAAACATTATACCTGTCAAAATTGAAAAGTCACTGTCGGGGGGGACGAACTTGCAATGAGGCAAACTCACTGTAAACTGAAAACAATTATTTCTGTCTGGAAAGACATTTTATTTTGAGAGGTGTTTAAAGATGTTTCTCTTGTGATCCTATTGTTAGTGGGACCTAAGGGACCTAACATTATTTACAGGGAAGGGGGGGGCTGGTGGAAATGAGAGGGGACCAAAAATTTGTGTGCACATGAAAAGGGGGGGGCCAAATAAAATTCTGCAATATCAATACCAGCAAAATTGACTTTTTATGTTTTAATTGGAGACTCTGATAAACAAAAGACTCAATCTCAATCTAAACAAATGGTTGACAATTCAAAGTCCTTAAAGTATTTCATCCTCAGATTCACTGCTTTCCTCTCAGTCACTTTCATCTCCTTGTGCATCACTTTTAAAAAAAGGTAGGGTGGTATTCATAACATTTCATTTTGGTTTACATAAAATGTTTTGGTATAGTATCGTAGATCATTCTTTTGAGTGCCAAAAAATTAATTTAAAGAATTATGGGGGGGGGAAACTTAAAGTTTTTGAGAAGTTTATATCTCATTTCCACCCGCCCCCCCCTCCCTGTAAATAATGTTAGATCCCTAATGAATGGGGAGAGGCAATATGAGATTTAAAAGCCAAACTCAAGAATATGACTTTATGCAAGTGCTTGAATGTTGAATTTTGGGTCTGGAGTCAATAAACCTTTAGCAACATTCATCATTAGCAAACATCAGACTGTGTGTCAGTCTTCAACCTGTCTTATTGTGATTTTAAAATTTTGGGTTTTTGTCTCTTGATTTCTGTAGGAAGTATTCTTTTGAGAAAACCTTAAAAGTGGAACAAAATCATGATCAAGGTACAGGAGACAGGTATTTGGTGGAACTAGAACTTAAAGAAATTTCAAGTGGGAAACATTTAAGATTCTCTGAATATGTGTACAGGCCCTGGGATGCACATTCTTTATGCACCCCTGAAGGTGTGGCATGGAACAAGAGTGCTGTCATCAACATCCTTCTCACCACTGGGAACAAACAAGGAAACTGGATCCTCCATTTTCTTAATCACATGTCAAGAATATTTAAAAAAACCAATGATTCAAATTTTAATGTAGTTGTTACAGAATTTGATGGTGTTGATGTTGACTTGAAAGAGGCTTTGAAGAAGAGTGGAATCCCACATTATCAGCATGTTAGACTTCATGAGGGATTTAAAAAGGCCTGGGGGCTACAGTTGGCTGCCAATATGGTTAAAAATCCGAACTCAATTGTGTTTGTTATGGATCTTCATTTGGATCTTCCCAACTATTTTCTAGATGATGTCAGAAAGGTGAGTTAAGAGTTACACCTTTTACTCCTTCTGGGGAATAGGTTATCAACAGTCTCCTTCCCCAACCTTTTCCTGTCCTGGACTAGCCTGTGAGGTGAGTTGTAAAGGTAAAATTTCCATAGCCTGGAGAGCTGGTGTTGGAAAAAAAATAGAGCAAAAATTATTAAGGGATGCAAATGGGAAGAAAGAGAGAACAAGACTCCTCCATTCTTTTGCTTATCCTTCCCTCTAACCCATCCCTAAAAACTTGTATCCTTAGCACCAGTTTTTCTAAAAGTGTATTCATTATTTGGGGAGAAGTAATTGTCTTCTGTTGATCTAATCTTCAAGCACAAGGAGTTAAAATTGTTAGAAACCTTACTTTTGATTTTTCTCACCTTAAATTGTTGTCATCTTCAAATACTGAATTATTGTGAGTTTTTTAAGTCTGTTAAAAAATATGTTATACATTTTGTCACAAATGTGAGACCCCAAAAGGTTTAAATCATTTTAGGGAACTAAGACTTTTTTCTTTGTCTATCACTTGCAATAAGTTAAACATAAATAACATCTTTCTTTAAGAGTTGCTTATTTACAATAATTCAAGGAAGCATAAATATCTTTATTTATAAGATAATCAAGGCAAAAATTTACCCTCTCCTTATTTGTAACTCTACCCTCTTCTTTTTTATTCAGCACTGTGTTCAGCGCAAGATTGCTTATAGCCCTTTGCTTATCCGCCTGTCTTGTGGGGCCACAGCAAGCCGTCCTGTGGGCTTTTGGGAGACCTATGGTTATGGTTTGATGGGAATGTACAAAAGTGACTGGGACAGAATTGGAGGCATGAATGTAAAAGAGTTCAAGAACAAATGGGGTGGAGAAGATTGGGAGATCTGCGATCGCATTTTGATGAATGGCATGGAGATAGAGAGACTTAAGATGGTTAATTTATTTCATTATTTCCACAGCAAAAAAGGCATGTGGTCTGATGCCAGTCATCGTAATCAGCTAAGTGACTCTACAGACAGATACTGGCGGTGATGTCTTTAAACAATAGACTGCACTTTCTATTATTTTACCCTTTTCTCAAAAGTCACTTTATGAACCCAAAATGATATTTTCAAATCTAACCAAGGGAAGTAGAGTGCAGGTGTTGGGTAAAAAATCAGGTCTTCTGTTTCATCTCCTGATATTTTTCATTGTTTACATTTCTTAGCTACCAATATCTGCACCTTGAATGAAACACAGTAAACAAAAACCACCTTTTGGGCTGGCCTCTTGAATTACCTGGTCTTTTCTAGAAATGAACCCCACCATTAGCTATACAGAATGTTGGAAAAATGAGAGAAAGGGATGTACTAACAAGCATTACTAGTGTTCTGTAATTACCCCAAGAAGGTTATCATACATTGGTGAACTGATAGAAAGTGGAGTCTATTGCTTCTTATAAATAGCTATATAATACAGTGAACAATTATTGATCTCTGACCAATCAGAGTGCCCACAATATTTTATGTTTTGTATACAGAAATTACCACCTATTTATGTAAGAATGTTGAGTTTTTGAAAACAATATAAGAATGGAGATCTACAAGAATGTAAATGGACTTTCAAGTTTAGGTTT